CACTTCGCTCACTCCTCAAAAGTATGAGGAAAAGAACAGACTCTATTTCACGGCTATTGAAAACTAACGTATCATACAAATAAGTGAAAACATTCATCCGCTTCCCATTTGAATAATTTTTTAGGTATAAATATCATATACTTGTCGGGTTTACATTAGAATTAGAGTTAGGGGCGTGAAACGAATCTTCGTTCGGACTACACGATGTCGTTATGCAATAGAGAAGACATTGACTAGTGCAAATACGATTATTATAGAATTGGACAAGTAACCGTGGTAATTAGATACTCGAGAAACTAATGACAATGATCTTAGGTTCAATAACGAATCCGCGGTCAACGGGATGATAGATGAACATGTTCACAATATCTAAGTCGAACTCTTTGTTAAAACGGGGGATATCCACCGAGCGTACAGACACAAAGTAACTCGCTAATACAACCTCACGAGAGAATGACTTTCCATCGCGATGATGCTGCGGAGGAAAACTATGATAGGGTGTGTCTAAGGACACGAGATCATCGGATTCGTCGAGAAAAGCGTTCGTTTGGAAAGTGAGGGAAATGGACATTCCTGTTAGTTGGTTAATTTCTATTTGATGGTTGAAGAAGGATGCTAACCGCCCTTGAGAAAAAGTTGCTAGCGGGAAGCATCGTTCGTGTGAAACGTAGATTTCCCGTATCTTCCCGTAGTAGCTGATACATTTAGGGACTGTTAGGATAAAGACTGTTTGGAGGACCTTAGTTAACAAAATCTTAAGATTTATAGCTCGTCCTCAGGCGAACTGAACATGTAGTGTGGAGATGCATCGACATCTGGTAATCATCTTGCCCGAGGAATAGGGTGTATGTCGAGCCACGAGACAGAAACCGTTGTAATGTTTGCTGTCGAGTGTCGCTGCAACTATCCCTTTTTAAGGAGAGCTATACAATTACTCTATATCTCTGTTAGGTAAAAACGTTCATCCTGTGACCGCGGCTACGTTCAGCGACTAGTTGTCACTTCGAACCTAATCCCATTATCACAAATTTCGGATAATTATAATCGGGTTAAATCGTAAAGACCAAAGTATTGGGGATTTTCTCAAGTATTCCAAAGAGAAGGTTCCGATGTTCTTTCATATCCGGTGTATATATAAAAAATACATTATACAACGCATAAAATTATTCACACTCGTTTTATGCATATCAGAAAACAGGCTCAGTAATTTAAAGAAATTAGTAATCGATAGTCAAACAGAGGCGGATTACTGTTTTCCAGCCGAAAATCGCTTGATACCAAGCCGTCATAAGTTTGAATCTTTCTGTATGTCATTATATATATTCGAGAGGTTTCCACTTGGCTTTATGACGCAATTTCAAACATCATTTCGTGCACGAAATAAATTTGGATCTCTTCCCATCCTGAATATTATCTTCCGTACTTCGTGTTAATTTCTGCTTAAACATACATTTTTCTACCTTTATACGCTTTTCGAATTAAAATTGGTATATCGTTCTTATCAACAACATTTCCTATCGTAAAAATGCATTCAATTTATGATTGCTGGAAATGTATACATTATACGCATGACCCATATTCGCTAGTCGGGAACAAAAGCAAAGCACGGTGACAGGATGCTATAGGGAAGATCAATCTTTATGAATCGCTATGAAATGTTTCAGCGCGGAAGAATTTCTACAATCCACATTAATATCACATTTTTCACATCGAAAAGCGATTTTTCATCGAGCCTGCCGCTATATTGCATATACATGAATGCACGCAACTCATATAATCGAATCGGCCGTAGAGTTATTCTACACTTCTGGATCGATGAAAACCTGCGAACAAATGTAGCCGCAAAATTCACCTTAACATTGAAATTCAAGGTGAAATCTTTTTCGTTACATCGTATTCTACTCATCATGAGGATCATTATATGGTCGATAGAATTGTGATCAAAGATACTATGGAATCGAACTCTCCTTATTCAAGTAGCTCATTTGTCGAGGAGCAGATAAAATCTGATACGATATATCGATGCATACTCGTACACATGTATGTATTATATAGTAAGCATTAGCTTAGAATAGCTAATAAAATAGTTTTATAAAGATTTGAAAATCTTCTCATGTTTTAAATCTTAATTAAGTATGAATATCTGTATTCTCGCCATTATCGCAGATATGTACTTTATCTGTTTAATTGAGAACAATTTTATTTATTATACAGATAATCTTCGATATGAATTGAATATATGTAACTGCTACGTTCGCTGCTCTACATCTTAGATACGTACTTTAGCAAAGTCATTTTTCTGAGCGATCGGTATTTCATAACACAAAATCCTAATCCTATAAGGTACCAGGTCCCGCTGTATCTCGTCCATGATAAAGCAAAGTACATCCTTGACAATGCATTTTTGCTTCAAGCGAACAACTTAAATGGTTCTCAAGATACAAGACTTAAAAGCGTAGCGCTAAAAACCGAATGGCGGTCGAAATTCAGGAAACGAACTGACCCATATCTTTTCCTAGATATACCGGTGGTAGTAGTAAAAAAGATGCTAAGTCAGCGTCTGTCGCAGACCAGGCCGCGAACACGAAGCTTGCGATGCAATGGGTCGAGGAAAATGCGTCAGAGAGGGAATCGTGTGTACAAGTAAGAAGCGGGTAGTGTATTGCTCGAAATTACGGTCGGCGGCAAAAACTGGTATGGGTGTAAAACAAAAATTACTTTGAAAGCTAGAGTTTTTCGTTTCTGATCTGGAGATGTTAAGTATTGCAAACGCGTATAACGCGTATGGTAAAAGAAAGCCCACTGTGACCTGATATTTTTGTAAATAAAAGTGCATGTGTCATGAGAAAATATGTTTGATAAAGAATTCTAGCGTGTGAACATATGTAGGTGTGTGTGTATGAGCGTGGAAAGCCATAAAAAAAAAATAGTTGCTATGTCCAAAGGGCAAATGATCAAAGAATGAAGACTTGATTGAGCATAATAATTGTCACGTATAATTAAATTATTATAATCTATATCTACGTTTTACATCTTACACTTCACTGGTATATTTTTTATAATGAGCCCTATCTATAGATATAGTTTTAATAATTTTTTTATATTATCTCTGCCAATAATATTTCGTTTCGAAATAGACTGCATTTCAATAAAAATTCAAAGAAGCTGGAACGCTTGCCACTACGTGAAAAGAAATCTTCGATAATAAGAAATAATATTACTTTTGAGGCAATATCTCTTTATTCTTTTAATCAGGATATATTGTACATATCCACTAAAAAAGGTAGGATTCTTCTTTCCATCTGCGTTATGTCGTTAATGGAATTCAAGTACTTATAAATTTCAAGCGAACGGATTTTGAGAAACTTAACAAACTTTGCAGAAACGTTCCCCAATTGAAAAAAGATCAAAGATCCATTATCGAGATTAAAAGAAGAGAGGAGAAACGAGGGAAAAGACAACACGACGATAAAGATGTTAGAAGTGTATCTACCTGATATCTGATTAAGAATTGGTCACGGTATAGTACGATATTACTTTCGATAATAGAATATCGATTTCCAATTAATCTCGAGAGGACGAACCATTGAATTTTAAACCAGCCGCACTTCAACGCCTATTATAATACATACACCATGTACCTATATGGGTTGCAACCTAGTTACGAAAGCAGAAATCCTCAATGGAATGGAAACTTAGACGAGGAAAGCCGGAGGAAACTTTAATGCCACAGTTTTCAAACAAGCTGCCACAGTCTCCAACTTTTTTCGTCTTGAGATTTGAAAATTTCAATCCCGAGAAATTTCCCTACGTTTCCTCATTTGTATTATGTTTTTAGAATGATAATCTTATGCTGCTATTCGGTATCAGTCGACATTACGTGTATAGTACCAAAACCGGAATTTGTAATACGAATACATTTATTATTTAATATTACAAATAAAAAAAAATTTGTTGATCTTTATTTTCTTTTGTATTTGTTAGAAAATAGATGTGTGTACATCCGTATTGTACCAGCAAGGAATGAAAGAGAGGAAAACAAAAGGAAAACACGGAATGAATGAATATGCAATAAAACAAATTCATTCCTGTTTGAGATGTATAAGAGAATAGAGCAGTGTGCGTTAATACTTCGTTATTCTGTTACATATAAAATAGTTATTTTGTTAATAATAAATATATAAATTATGTATTTAGTAAAACGTTATATATTATTACTTTAAAAATGTTTCTTTTCGTTACATACGTATACACATATCACTGTCGATCCTCTCCTGAAAGGAGAATAAATTCTATCGCCACGTGGATTATAGTTGAATTCCATAGCGAATAGAAACACATATAACGATGTTTGACTATAGCAGATTGTTGCAGGTTGTATAGGTCAATTACAACGTTCTACTAATAACGTAGGATATTGGTTTTATTAAAATATAACTTATTAAAATACATTTATCGTACAAATGAAAGTTCGACTAGTGATGATGATATTAATTAATTAGTTGGCATAATACATTTCGTTAGAAAAATTTCACGTTTTAAAAACATTACCTAACTTTCTAATGGAGTTCTGCTATAAAATCGTATTACGTCTCTTTGATCGTTCCTTTTTTCTGTACTTGAACGTTTCCGAATTTATTAACTATATTCCCGTAAATTTTGCTTGTTCGAGCGATGTATAAACGTATAAAATTCATTCTGTTTTTAATACAATAAGTTTTATTGCATGCTGAGTGCATTAAACGAATAGAATGACATAGAAATGTCGAATTTCAAGTACCAATTCAACGTTCCTGTATAGTTCTGTTCTGTTTCCTGTATAAGTATCGAAATACTTTTTAAATGGTAAAAAAAGGGCTAAACATTCGGAATGCTTTTTCTTTTTGATATTTCCATTCATAAAATTATTTCACGTTTTTTTTTTTACTATATTTTCGATATCCGTGTTAGCGAGTTTCATATTTTCTAAACGAATAAAAGAAAAAAAATTGAGAACTCACCTTCTCCTCCATCTTGGAGACGACATTATCGACGGCATTCTCCGCCGATTTCGCAAGGGCTGTAGCTTGCTCCTTTCTCGACATGTGGCCACGGAAAGATGCCTGGATTTTGGTCGCCGCGTCGCAAAGCTCTGTCAACCAAAGAGAAAAGTGCTCTTAAGTTAATATCGATAGACGAGCATAGGATCGATACGTTCTAGCCTTGTCAAGTCGAGGAAACGGGATTCCAAGTTTCAAGCTTTTTGCACTGACAGCATAAAAGTGTCTTCCTACGAAAAACTGCTTTGACATTGAGGAAATTTATTTTTAGAGCGAAACGTGATTCTCAGAATTTTATTTATTTCAGTATATATTTTATTCAGAAATATCGCCGAAAAAGGAGAAATGTGGTAATACGATATTGTGGTACAGCAGTTATGGTTAGTAGTGATATTACGTATGTGCCTGTTCATTATCTAATGTACAAATAATTTACAAAAATTTGCCTAAAATTTTAGAAACATCTAGTATTTAGTATGCAATGTATTTTTAAAAATAGATTCTGTTATTTCATTTTGTATTTTTTAAGAAAATCTAAAAATATCTTACGAATTCAAGGCAAGAAACAGGAAAATGGTTCTCACACTCACACAAGCACATCAGTCTCAGCGAGAGCCTGTCATTCGGAATCAAGTTTAACCACTGTTCATTTCGTTGAATCGTGTCGACCGCTTTGAAAAAACAATGGCTGACCCAGTTCTGAATCGAGGATCAATTTCGAATTCGGTATTGTGCAAATTCAACTGACTTGCAGTTGATCCGTTCGCGAAATACAGTTGCTCCGAATTTGCACAGTGAGCAAAATCGTTAATTACACAAGTATTGAATAAAGTATCCTCGATTAAACTCTCATATCAGTATAATATATCTTACGATGATAAAAGATATCACTTACTGTGTTTTGCTTCTACATTTAGTTCTTATAAAAATATTTCCGCGACTATATTTGGAAGTTTCTACCGGAAAAATTAGTTTCCTTTGCGGTCGAAATATCGAAAAGCTGGAAACGAAGACAAAACAAGAAAGATCGACAGATGGTTGGTCAACAAAAATTAAAATCGATATTTAATCATATTGAACAATATGAAAAAAGTAAAAAAAACAGAAATGGATCATTTAACGGCGCGATATTAGGCTATCCCGCTGTAATAGCCTAATATCCTAATGTGATAGCCTAATATCACGCCGTTAAATGGTTCATTTCTGTTTTTTTACTTTTTTCATATTGTTCAATGTTCATAATCATTTCATTTTCGGCCTAGCAGGACAATTTTATGCACGTCGTTTAAATTTATTTTTCTTTTGTTACGTATGCTGTAACCTTTCTTTTAATCATTGACCTTTTATCATTTTGTCACCTTATCGAAGATAGATGTTTCGTTAATAACTGTATTAAATATGAAATTTAGCTTTTTATCAGCTAGAATTCCAAGTTTAAAATTATAATTGCATCGAGAAAAATATTCTAATCGCATAGAGAGCGAGATTATTCTTATGTCTTGGAATTAATTTTGTATCAGTTAATCAATATTAGTCGATCTCTGTTAGTCAATCTTTGTCAGTCGACTTTCCTGAATTTGCTCTATGTCAACGGACGTCTATGAATTTCTGTGATTTTGGTCTCTGTGAGTGAGTACCTATTAGCCAAAATTCACTCAATCTCTTCCTCTTCGCAAGAATAAACATTGCTAGCGTATTTTTCTTTTTACGTTTTAAACAACGAATAAACTTGTCTTCCATTTTTGGCAAGTTATGTAATATCCTCCATTTTACACATTCTATTTGTACATTATGCCTGAAGCAAAACGTTGAAATATCGTGCGTCTTATATTCCACAAGCTTATAACATAAAATTACAGTCAGAGGTAAAATTAAATTTTCATACAAATACGGTCTTTGTTCTATTTCCTCGATCCATGCTACGATTATAACTCGATATTATGAGCCAAAGTATAAACTTTGTGTTTTCTTATTCTTCACCCTTACATCACGAAATGACATAGTATGCAATACACGTACAATTGATCAATTTTAGGCGATAAAATGTGGTCGACATTCTAATGGGAAATTACAAACCACGTAGCCAAATAGCATTCGTGGCTAAAAATTTCTGAGTAACTGTATCGTCATTAAAACGATTCTCACTGGTCTCATTCCGTACCGTATCTGTAAATAAATATTAATTGAGATTCGTATTTCGGCCAAAACCATTCATATTTCATCGAGAACGGTCGGCAAATTGTCTAATTCCGGTTTCGTCATCGCTAGTATTTCATCGTCGCTAATGGACGCTGTTACTCTACATTATTTCACGGTGCTCAGCCTGTCAGTTAGGATTATTTCGCGTTTCTCGAATCGCAAAGTTAAAGAGGCTTTTGCTGAAAATTTTCTATTAATTTTATCTTTTGTGAAACGACGAGTGACTAATTAGTATCACGATCAAAATCGACATTGTTTATTGTTTATTATATACGGGAATAATTTCATTGGAATGTACAAAGTTAATATATATATATTTATATATATAATAAACATTACAACTATTTACAACCAAAACTAAAACTATGATACAATGAAGTACGGCATAGTGACTTTCTGATATGTGAGAAAAAGATTCAAAAAATATATCAATTGCAGAAAATACATTATAAATATTAATGGTCATGCGATTTATGCCGATGCGATAAGCAAATTCAGTGTTATGTGATTGAACATAAATAGAAAATTTCATGGTATTGCAGATTTCTCACTGGAATACTAATTTTGAATCTCTCCATAATATCGAGGCGCTCTACGAGATCAGTAAACACTTTGCGTACAAATAGGATATGATGAAGCTTTGTTTTACTTTCCAATGTTGTGAAACCAAGGTTATGAATTTATTAATAAATAAAGTGGCATATCAAAACAGTGAGAAGAAAATTTTACCGAAGGTTCATTACGATGTACGGGGTGTATAAACAGTAAGTGTAACAACCACTGCAGTGTAATTTTACGCCTCTGAGTCAATGGACACTCGTAAAAAAAGTTCGTGCAAAGTTGACCTCGATTGAACATGATCTTCGAGGTCAGAATTATTGTAACGTATTTTACTCAAAAAGAAGGAATGTCTTCCGCAAGCAGAGATCTGCCATTATTCCTATATTCTCACATATATTTCACGAACCAATTTGTAATTTCCTGTTTTTTCGTATATAGCACGCTACTTTCTCATTAAATGTGAATATAGATGTAAACACATTGTGAATAAAGCTAGTTTAAGAATTATTAAAACTTATTCTTATTAATATTCTTTTCCGGAAGAAATGATCATTTCCAACCCATGATCCCTTTGAGACTTTTGTTCATCGTGATGTGTAAAATATAATGAAGTAGCAACGAAAACAGATTTTCTCCTTGATAATAATACTCAAAGTTAGTTTTACATGAACTTTTTTCTACAAATCTCCATCGATCTAGAGTCGTAGAATCACGCTACGGTGGCTTTTACACTTACTTTTTATACCCTCTGTACATATATGTGTACATTTACACAGACGATATTTCTGCTATTATTACTATTAGTAATTTAGTGCCGTTAGAAAAAATAATATCGTCGACATTAACGTCGCCAGATTTTACCACGATTAAGTAAGATATGTCTTTTATGGGCAAATAATTATTCGCAAACGATAGTGATCCATGGAAATAGAACTGTTTTAACTAGTGGTATAGCGACTTCTATAAACAGGCAGTGGAATAAATGATAGTTTGTGAAAGCAATCTTCCAAACGTGATGACGTATCGTCATCAAATAAGTATTGAACATTTATGAAAACATTTTTCGGCTCGTTGTCAGATATAGATTTCACAATTTGAGCTTACCTGTATCCTTAACTTTATTATTACAATTTTTCTAACCTCGATTAGAACAATTTTAAAATTTATAGAACTTCAATCTTTATTTTTAATTAAAAACAATCGAAATCGCGATCACTTTAACGCGTAAATAAATTTCTTCTATAATTTCCCTAGAGGAGGATAGCATATGTGTAAAGTAAATTTGCAGGCAGTGACACAGGTGGATCGTGTTACATCGCCGATAAAAGTTTGCTTTTACCGGCGGTAAATTAATTCACGTTAACTGACGAGCAAAACAAACGATATAGAGTACAATCAATTTTTACGCGAAAAAGCGAGTTGGTGGACGACAATATAATAAATCGCCCAACAATAAGTTGCCATAAATCATTGTTTTAAACAATAATATCGCGATTAAGCTAGATATATAAAACGAAGCTACGAAATCGAAGTACGAAATGTTCAACTTTAAAAACATAAATTCTTTCATTTTTGAAAATGTTACACCTACTGCATAAATTAAACGAAAATTATTTAAACTGTTAGAAGATATTCGCGTGTCAACAATGACGTACTTTTAAGGTGCATCACAGAGACGTTATTTTACTTTGATAGCATTTGTAACAAATACTTTGTTTGCTTCCGATGGACAATCTTGTGTCATATAGAATTGTTTGGGAAGAGATTGAGAGGGTTTAAAAATGATAAATGTACGAGGGTATTTTCTCAAGGATAAACGCACCCAAGAATAGCACGAGTTTATTCCAAATTCAAAATCTCAAAATCTAATGCAATGTATGCTTAAAAGATTTGGCCAATCTTTGTCAGGAGAGAATTTTCTTTGTATAATTTTTTTTATAAAACATCTTTTAATATTAATTAGACGGCATACACAAAGTTCCGTTATATCAGACTAAAAGATTATTGAAATAAAAAGATTATAGAATAAGATTAAGTCATGGATAAATTAATCAAACGGGGCGTGACAATATAAATTTTCTATAGGACGAAAAACAATTGCCGGGCGAGCGCCAGACAATTAATCATCGCTAAATAAAGTTACACAAAGCACAACCGATTTTGCAAACCGTCAGTGTCAAACTCTGCAAAGTTATTCGCTTTATATGTGTCAAAATTGCGATATACCTTTGACATTAAACGGTTCCGTCGGGGATATCCATTGGTCACGAATCTTTACACATTGTCATAATAATTGTAATAGCAAGAAATCTATCCTGCGTTACCATTATATGATTGCCTAACCGAATATTTATGTCCGTTTCCTATCTCAGAAGCGTAAATAGGATCCTATCGAATATGTAAATTTCCGGGAACGTTGCAAAGTCGATCTAGCCGTGAAGATCTGGGTCATGAAACGGCCCTGAAAATCGCAAGCAATTTTCGTGGAATTTCCAAGATCCCAAGTCAAAATTCAGTGACGGTAACAACCTTTAGGAAGATTTTCATGACCCTCGGGGAACCGCTACCGAGAAAACTGCCACACGAGGAGGAGAATGTCAGTCAACTTTATGACGACTCTCGTTTGCGGACTGTCTTCTCCATCCACTTTACGAACTACAAAATTTGATCTCGTATATAACACGGCTATCGAGCGTGATGACATCGTTACAGAAGAAAGAACAAGTGAAATGTAAGCATATGGTTCTTCTAAAGCTTTTTCTCAAATCCTCCTCGTGACCTTTTTTCACTGCTGACAACACTAAAACATGGCTGTATGATCTGGCGAGTACATGATATAACATAGTTTCTATTTAAAAATATGATAAAAACCAATTACCGAATTTAATTTAACAACATATTCAAAAAATAAGATTGTATCTATCGTGCATAAAATTTATTGAAAAAAGGTATTCGTCTAAATTAATACGACACAGAGAGAAAAAGTACAGTCTACTAAATTATAATCATTAAATTTGTTGAAATATAATTCGAGGGCAGTGAAATGAACAAATAAGCTTTCGAGAAGTTTTCTCATTACCTAATGGAAACGTAGAGACACTACAGTTGCAATTGGCTAAATTATTATTTTTTATACTTGTTACAAGAAATAAAGAATCGATGGTGATTCCATCAAACAAATAACGTCCCATTGAAAAATAAACTTTCGTGATGCTCTTAATGGTGAGAAGGGTGCAAGTAACAGAAATTATTTTGTATTTATTACGGGATAAAGTTCGAAAATGATTAGTTTCATACATATAACAATAATTTCTAATAATACAATAGTGAAAACGAAAGAAAATATTGGCAATTCCATTTTTCTACCTAAAATACGATATATGTATGTCGGAATTCTATCGCGACTGACTTGATAAGATGCACGTAAAATTATGAAATCGTGGCTCGCATAAACTCGAAACTGACGAGCTGATTGTATGTGAACAAAAATATAAATACATACGCAAAGTGTTTAGACGCATACAGAATAAATCACATCTGCTTGTTATGGTGAATACTTTTACAATGTAATAACATTGTGCGATCGAAAGCTGAATTTTGGAGAAAGGATGAATTATTTCGATAACGATGAACATACCATACGTTCAACGTTCAGAATTCAGTAAAATGGTTCGTATTAATATTACAATATCAATGGAATTTCAGAAACTTATATAAACTTTTAATGTTGCTGCTTATTAAAACCGCTTGCAATTTTAAACGTAAATATGTTTTTAAAAATATAGTGTATTATGTAAGTGCAGCTAGTTATTTTCAATTCTGAACCACTACTAATCAAATACATATATACGTATATAATACTTCAGAGTTCCGATTTATATCGATTTATATTCGATTTATATTCGATTTATATTTATCTATATTTTAATAGAACATGAACGAGCGAAAATACTACTTTAACCTCTTTACTTTAAAACCTACTTTAATGCATCAAAATTATCCAATCTCAGTGGCACATCGTTATATAAAATACATATAACATAGAATTATACGAGATATATATGTATAGTAGAAAGGATGCTGGCAGAGAGGTAAAGCTCTTTAGCTCTCGAGGAGAAACGAAGGATGTTTTCAAGGTGACTGAACGAGATTGGCAGGAAAAGGAGAGTTCTAAAATTAAAGACATCCCTTTTGGGAACGATTTCGAGGGTCCGCACGTGACACTCACCCTTGTCGTCGGCGCGGAACTCCTGCTGAAGTTGTTCTTTGGTTGGCTCTGAGTTTGATTTGGTCCCCGTCTGCTTTATCGAGGATTCAGTCTCTTTCATACTCTTCCTGGCGTGATGGCCACGGAAAGCTGCTTGTATCCTGGTTGCAGCCGCTTCCCTTTCTTTGTCCGTACCCTTTTCTTCCTTCTTCCCCTCTTCTTTTTTCTCGTTCGAATTTTTCGAATCTGCCTCCTTCTTTCCCTCTTGCGACTTTTTTTGTGAAGCTTCTTGCGACTCTACTTTCGTTGAGCTGCTTTCTGCGTTTGAGATATCTGAAAATTCATCAATAATTACTAATCGTATCGTTTACATTTATTCTTAAAGACTCTGAGAGACAATATTTTAAAAGAGTATTTGTATCGTAGTTTTCTCTGTTATGGATATCATAATTAGTATATATAAAGTTCCAAGAGAATTCCGTGACAAAAAGTGGCGAATATTATTAATGAATATGATTTCGCTTGACAATTTCGAAGGAATAACTTCCATATTTTTGCTCTGATGCGTTGCTCATACATATTTCTCAATTGAATACAAAATTCTTTCGATTATATAAAAATTCTACCGATACACGTGTATCATTTTATTCGCGATGTGTGTTTCTAACGTATGTGTAACTGTATGAACGTGCAATGTCGATCAAGGGATTTAATCATACGTTCCAAAATGCACGTACGCATACGCAATTCCCTTTGTACTCGTGTTTCATATAGTTGTCTTGATTAAACTTGATTAAACTCCAAGAATCGGAATTCTCAGTTTTCCACTTTAGCTTCGTATGAACTATCAATCTATTAACTTCTTATCTTATTATTCCATTATCGATCATGAAATGTATATACATAAAATTCTTTGAATACCTTATTAAATAAATTTCACAATATAAAATTAGGAAGCACAGTTTTTCAATCAATTTCCTTCTATTCCAAAATATTCGAAACTTAATAAAACGGAACGGAAAAAGGGAACTTTAAGCTCTATGATAATCTTGTCTTTCGAATTAACGCAGGTTTATCTGTAAGATAATCGGATATCTCTTTGTAAGTATAAAAATCCTAAGATTTATCTCAAATAAAGAATACATATATACAATATGTGTGTATATAGGAAGAGATATAGATTACCCAGTATTATGAACGCAAGAAAGAAAAAGAAGAAGAGAAAGAAATGAAAAAGAGAAAAGGAACATTGTACCTAGTCGCGTGGGAGGCAGAGAAAGAAAGAAAACTGTGAATCATTGCTAGCGCACAGTTAGTGACACGTACAGACTCTACATATACGCACACCTTCTTTCTAACTACGCGCCTCTAATTACTAGGTTGGTGGTATTTCGTGCAGGACCTATTTCGAGACGGCAGTTCGCTTTTTCGCAGGCTGGCGTATGCCTCAAGGAATCTCTTTTATCTCGAAGGAGAAACGTCCAATATTAATCAGAGAAAAGAGCGAGCGAATTAAAAATTTAGAATCAGGAAATATAAGACAGATAATCGCGATACCTGCGGCTGAATTTCCTGAAATTTTCTGCTACAAACTGTAAAATATAGGGAAAGTGACAAGAGTATGAGTTCTTCAACAGAGAACAAAGAGATAAGCTAGATCGAATAAATTAAATTAAATAAATTTAAGGATATAATGTATCGGTATTATCAAACATTATTTATAAATTTACAACGTCGCAAAGGTAATCCACCGAATGTAAAACCGTCGAAACAACAGCCAAAGTAGAAGTTATGCATGACAAAATTAATATTCTCCAAGATTAAAAATCGGAATAATTCTTCAACTGACACGCATCTCGACTATATAAAATCAACAATCAGAATGGTTTATTGCTTACGATTAAAAGCTATGCGGTGTTGCGTTTAGTGGGTTCAAAAAATAAAATTGGCGAATTTATCGAAAACCTATCAAAATAAATTTTGTTTATTAAACATCGATTAAACGTGCTTCGTTTGGTTTCGCTAATTGTTTAATCCCTTAAGCGCTAACGCTGCGTTAACACGATATGTCTATCTATAAATTTTCATGTAACTATTCGCTGTATCTGATACCTAATCCAACTTATTTTCTTCTATATAATACTTGGCATAGAGGACAACGAATCGTCATTAACTAAAATAAAGGTCACGAAACAAGATTTGATACAATACGGTGGATATGAAGCAGCCTCTGGATTAAGAGCCTCTGGATTAACTGGGATAGTTAATTGTCTTACACGTCTCACCTTCACCATCGAGCAATTCGTGGTTTTCACGAGATGTGAGTTCAGGTTTACTTTCGTCCTTCGTCTTCGACTAATAAGGATAGAGACAATTAAAGATAGAAAATGGAATTCGGAAAGTCGCGTCGCCACATGCAATTGAGAAAATTATTTCAGCAATTGTAAATAATTGGTTTTATTGGCAAACTAACTGGCTTCGTGTTTCGATTTCTACTCGCTAATCAACTTCGATAATTGGCAAATGTTTGCTTTAGGCTTGAAAATTGTTTCAGTTCTAAGTAGAAAGTTCAAAATATAATATAACTGATAGTATAATATTCACGTAAAGTTTCATAAAATATTTGACGAGCTAGAGTTCGAGCGATAGTTTCTAGTTGCATCTGAAAACAAAGGTACAGGCAGAACGAGACGAACGCTTCGTAGATGTCTTCAATGACAAATTCGAAAGCGCTCTCTGCGATGAAAAAATCGACATAAAAAATCACGAGCATTGAATGGCATCAAGATTTCCTCGATATCTCGGTCGCGAATGTTTCTCCTTTATTTTTTGCATTTCGTTGCACGCAATCATGTCCTACATGATTTTTCTTGCCGGTAGTTGTATCCGAGATCGTCGAATCCCTCGGGAAGCAGAAATCCCATAACTTTTAACAAAGATAAACATAGTCTAGTTTACTGGAATTTTTCGAAAGATAAAGTAAAATACATCTAACATATACACCTACCTTCGCCCAATCTGCGAGAATATTTAACATCCATAATGACCTAGTTACGATTTGATGATAAAATTCTCTGTAATTTCAAACCGTTTCTCGGAAGCTAATGGTATTTGCAAATTAAAGAAATTAACATTGCGATGATTCCCTCGTGGAATAATCACTTTAAGATTAATCTGATCCTCCTAATTTAGTTGGTATTCCCTTTTTAAGTTAATTCACGATGTAACATCAGCTAGTAAATAATATTATTATGTACAACATCAAATAGCTACTTAATAATCTACTATAGCACTTTGCGAATGGTTATGAATAAGACAATATATATAAATATAAATTAAATACTATTTACAACATTCGTTTGTGAATAGGTAATAACGGAGAGTAGGTCTATAAAAGGAACTGTTAAAAGAACAGTTCGGCATTGATGAATTATTCCAATTGAGAATTTATAAGCGACAGATGCTGGGTACTGAATATCGAATTCAGCTGCGTACCTATTAAGTACGATTGATTCTCGACGGCTTTTTAAATAAAGTGGTTTAAAATATAAAGCTAAAACATTGTTCAAAGAATAAAATTACTGGTCGTGCTTTTAATCAAGTATTTCCGGTCCTTTTTTAACAAAAATATTCACTCTTTTACTCGAATTGTTTAAGTGTTGTAGATTAAGAGAGAACATCGTAACGCGAAACATTTGATCGCTATTCTACTAAATAAAAGTATTTATTGAAGTCCATTTCTTCCAAATTTTTCCAAAATATTCATCAACAGATTTTAAGAAGCGTTCGTATAAAAGTAACGTCGATACAACGTATAGACTTAAGAAGAATCCGACTCGCTCCATCGCAGGCATAACAACCGCCTGAACCTTCCAATTTGCAAGTCGATTCTTAAGAAAATTTTCTTCGAAATGCATAGAAAGCGGTCGATCTCAACCAAAAACGGTAACGTTCAATTTTACTTTCAGATGCCTCAGGCTAATACATTTGGCTAAATTGCTTGCTAAATTACGAGGAAGCCTCTATATTCAACACACTACCAGCTAACGAATTAACGTTTCGAGCGTCGCGTCATGTTGGCGAACTGCTTCGATCGATCCCTATGGAATACGAAACAGTGTGCCACTTACTGCACGTCAAATACCCTACTATGCCATCCTGTAACGAGTTTCATGAACATATAACGACACGATAACACTATACCAGAAGACTACTTGAATCGTTACTATACGGTATCAATATGTCGCGTAAATTGTATTATTTGTAGGAAATTTGATTTCATCCGTCGAATGTGAGCTTTCAGTCACATAAATCATTTTGTCTTTCTGTCCTTTGTTGGAGCAAAATAAGGTAACTGTGTTTATTGCATGTATTTCCAAAGACAAGCTGAAGAATACCTACACGTGTACTTTCTTAGACAGTATACAGGGTGGTTGGTAACTGGTGGTACAAGCGGAAAGGGGGTGATTCTACGCGAAAAAAAGAAGTCGAAAATATAGAAAAAAATTTTTTTTTAATTTTTTTTTTAATTTTTCCATCGAGACAACGATCTACAATGAGATCCGTTATAACGAAACGTGATAAAGTGCACGCGTACCGAGCGAAAATTTAAAGTCGATTTTCTCGAAAACAAAGTCTCAAACGAAAAATTTTTATTCTATCACCAATTACCAACCACCCTGTATATCGAATCTTGGTAACGTTTTGATTACACGATCCGTTTCATAGTTAGGGGTTTCATCATAGGGGAACGATTCATAGTTCAATATGCTTGGATTGCTGCAATTCATATTATCGTATGACGATTTAATCTCGCGCGTTTAATATTAAAATTCTTAATAGAGATATTATTCTAAAAGTCGTTTACGAAATTTACTAGCTCCGTTTCAATACAACAGAAGTATCGATTACATATCAGGTTTGATAGTTGGTGAACTCCGTTGAACTGAAAGAAGTTAATGAAGCTAGAGTTCAGTTCGACATTAATTAACAAACAGGCACTATCGACACGGTGCGACGCGGTGACACGGCTGTGTGTTTGTACATAAGCGTTCGAGATCAAAATGCACGCAGCTTTGACTAATTAAAATCCAGATTAATTAGGAATTTGAGTATTATAATTTTTCCTAAGAAATGTATCGTCACTTTGTGGTTTATTTATTTAGCAATTAATATTGGAAAAATGTAATGATTATTTATTTTGTAAAGAGTTAGTTTGACTTGCCCAGAAACGCTCGATTTAAAAAGCAAATCTGCGATTTACGAACATATATTTCTTCTGATATTTGTGAAAATTGAAGTTTTAAAGTAGAGGTATGCAAATTCGAGTTACATCAGGTGCAAAGTTATACAGATTGGTTGGAACACGGGTCTCCGTGTTCAGTGAAATTCTTAAACGCAGCAAATTTCTCGAAATGCGTAAATACGTTCTGGAGATAACTGATTAAGGCGAAACGAAACGGCAAAGACCTGTTTGTTTCAACTAAGGTATAATATAATACCTATTAAAAGTTTATGGCCATGTAATTGGAATATACAGAAAAACTGTTGAGAAAACTGGGATTTTCTTTTACTTTTTATTGATCGCGTTTAACCATTTCAAATTATATGCAATAGAAAATAGGGAACTTTTGAAAAGCAAAAAGTAGAAATGAGAAATGATATATGATATAAAGTATTATTTAATATTTTATGATACAAAAAACATTTTTGTATGCTTAAATTTATTTAGACGTAGCTACAATTTTCCAATTTACGTTAACCCAAGCAGCGAAACACTCTATCCGTAAACATCAAGAATCGAATAATATCAAACAATAAACAAAAAGGATTAAGCACGAGCCATGCTGGAAACCAGCGAACAAGCGTGTAGCTTTTTACCAACATTCTACCTTTTGCCAGGGCGAAAGTTCATCCTCGTGTATTTAAACGCGTTTTAATTTTTCAAGCGTTTCCCTCCTTGTATACCGGGCGGTGAGAAATTTCCCGATGTAGTCGGCGTGTAGCATTTTCTTTTCATTTTTCTTCGCCTCTGCACAATACTTTGTGACTATAATGAACGGAAAAGAAAGAAAAGACGTCATCGCGACAGTCTTTATAATTCATTCTGACGCTCGTTAATCTAGCTAGCTGGTAGCTGTTAGGATGTTGCGCGCGGTGCTATAAGCGTAGGCCATCATACCATAACCACTTTCGTTTCAACAAAGCTGCCTAACGAAATATTCTCGCTTGGTCGGCGAGATTTTCAACATCGATGATCCGGAATTCAGCGTGCAATGTGTAAAAGTAAAAATACGCGTACCACGTACGAGAGAAATGTAGCGTAACTTTTAACGGTACCTTTAGCGATCAATCGTCGCTCTTTTAAAAAGTATTTATAAGACTACCAATGATCTCATTTTCCTGTCATACCTCGTCGATCGTTAGCGATCGAATCAACATCGATATGTATGTATACGTTTCAAATCGAAATCAACTACGATATTGGAGTTATTATTTAGCAGCAGCCGCAGCTGACAAGTCAATTCCAGATAGGAAACGGGAAGAAATGGGTAAAAATAGAGAATCGTTAATTTTATGTTCGCGCTCGTAGCAAGCAAAACTTTGTGCAACAAAAAAGATGTGGCATTCTTTTTCGTTACGTTTTCGCTAATCAAACGTATGTATGTATTATATGTATATATTGCATGTATGCATAGGTAATATTGATGAGTTTATATAGAGTCGTACTAGGTTGATCGCGAAAGTAGTTTACGATCAAAAGGTAACATGGTGAAAACCATAGGAATAAAAATATGTTTGTTTCAGTAATGAATGTTATGTAAGTTATGTGTTTGTCGGATTTCTTTTCTTTCCTCCATAACGGAATGCAGTGACGTAGCGTTACGCATGAATCTTTGGAAGTTAAAACGACAGTGATTTTATTGCATTTTCAGATTTTACTGCCAATCGTAAACACTTGCAACCACATTCTCAATACAGAAACGACTTCGATAAAGTTCATAGCGCGGCTGACATGGAAAACTGACTAAATAAATTCTCAAATACATAAAATTTTCATCGAGTTACGATCATGTCAGTGATACTAACAAGTAGCTTTAAAAAATTCTTTAAAATACTACTAGACAACATTTCTCGGTTATCTTCCCTAAGATAAGTAGCAATGCATAGCTCAAAAATTGTCAACGTCGTATAATTTATTTCAATCGTTATTGCGCGAAACGTCTCGTTTAAGAGACGAAACATCTCCATAAAGAAATAGCAAATATTCGTTTTTAGGAAATAATTCGTTGTAAAAGGAATGTAGGTGTGAAACTATATACAAACAATATTTAACATGATTTTAAAACAGTATTAACGATCACGGCATTAAAAGTACTTACGAAATACTCTTAGTACTTACGAAACGTTCATGACAATGCGAAATCTAAACATCTACCTAGTTATGCTATAAATTTTCGTGTAAGAGAACCAATTCCGCAGTACCGTTTACTAAACGGTTTAATGATACTTTTTGTATATGTAATTATTGTAATATCATAACTAGACTTTTATGCAAATGCAGATTTTTATGCAAATATATATTTTTATGAAAAATTGATAATAAAATAGGGCCTAGACATAAATTTATCTTACTTGCAGATGTTAAGCAACGAAATATTCGCTTTGCATATTTTCCATATTTTTTAGAAGCACATGCGAGCATGATACGCAATATTATTAAGTAATTTCAATAAAATCAGTAAAATGAATATTTTACTTTGTTTTATAATACTTCTTTTTCGTTTTCTTTTGCCGTTAACCATTTTAAAGATATGTCTGCGTAAAATATCCTGTATTTCTACACAGGCTCTTATATCATACTTTAAATTACAAAAAGATCCGCAGTCCAGTTACAATAACTTTAAACTAACTATAAGCTATATCGCAACCACGTTCAATAATGTTAAACTAATTACCATTATAATAATTTGATAAAAAGAAGCAAAAGTTTTTTTAATAGAAAAGAAATGAAAACTTTTAATAGAAACGTTTAATAGAAGCGGATCGCATTAACAGAAACTGCGCGGCTATTTCATGTTTCGTTCTTAATTGCGTCACGTAATCATTCACGAAGAAAGGTTTATATCTCATTAACCGATCCTAAGTGTTAGTGCTGATATTTTAAGAAATTCAACTATATTACGCATGAAATCCTATGAATTATAAATTTATGGTAAATTTTGTATTCGGTGATGGCAATATATCAACCGGGCTGACAAACGCATCACATTATGCCATATGAAGATAGTAAAATAAAATATTTGGAACGCCATTAGACATGGATATTTACTATATTATTACTATACTAAACTATATTTATGCAAATTCGTATCTTTATAAACAGATGTAAAATAACGAAATCTACAGAGATTTTTTTGGATTTTCAAATTTCTCATAAATATATAAAACGACTTATAAAACAGTTTCATTAAAATTGACTCCCTTCATTGGCATATTTTTATCACTTTTGAAAGAGGTGTCCGAATATAAAAATCTATAATGAAAGATTGTCGCGTGTGTTTCAATAAATGAAAAATTTACAGCTATGAAATATAATTTTATCGTTTCCGTGATGGTATCAGGATCTACGTTATCATATGAACGTATCAGTGGGTTCGTAAAAGTCCGACAGTTCGACATATGGTACAAGAAAGATGATAAAGGATATATTGGTTATTGGGCATTTTATGATGTGCATCTTGCTTTATTAAAATCGTAAAAATTTTCTTTAAAAGGATCCGAATGAAAATGTAATTGCGCTCCGTTAAGGCGTATGTGCACACGTTAAATTCGGTAAAAGAGTAAATATATGTATATATTATAAATATATAATAAATATAGATAGCAATTCTATCGGGTATATCATGAGAAATATTTTGGTTCGATTGTATTTCTCGCTGTCTAAATATAGAAAAACGCTATAAAATAAGAAGTTGGAAAGAATTCATTAAAAATGCAAAAAGTCTCAACAAAGCTACTTTAATGAGAAATAATCAATAATAGCGACATATTCTCAATAACGTAGCACACGTTCATAAATCTAGGACGCTGTCTTTATCGGTATAAATACACCCTTTGAACATAATTCGGTGAACTGTGTAACCGTTCGCGTTTTCTTACCTGGAATTTCCAGATGAGACTAACTTATAATTAACATATATAACCGTAACAGATACAACCTAGAAGTAATATTACTCAGAATGCTTAATATATTGTGACAAATTTTTCAATAAAGAAACATCCAAGAATTTGAAACGTACCAAAGATATTAGAACGAAATATATCGCGTTCAAAATTCAATCGAGGAAGTATTTTGTAATATGTCTGAGGAATCAATTAACGAGGTGAAACTAATTAACAGTTTAGAAAATGAAGAGATATTCGAATAAAAGAGAGTCTCTACATATGTAGTAGTGTTAAACTTTCCAAGCATTCTGCCCAGCTCGCAAATTTCTGTGCTCGATCGCTTTGAGATTGAGTTAAGCAGTCTGTACGTCCATCTGATAAAACGGTAGCGAGAATAAATAAAACAAATCAACGATATTTCCGCTGGCTCGGATCGTAATCACTATTGATATACGAGCTTTGCACACGACGAACAACTGCGCATCTAACGTCGCCAGACACGAATCGCGCAACTGCGTTCTATATATTCTTTTAGAAATTTTCGCTGCTTCATACGGCACGCATTGCGCAACCATTTCGTAACGTGTCAACAGTTTTCTGTCAGTCTATGAATGGATAGGCGGAAATTGTGGATTTGTTCCGACGAGTTCGTAGGTTTCGAAGCATGTATCCGACACATGGATAAAACAAAATTTAAAGATCGATCTTCGTCATTTTCATCATTTTCGTAACCTGAAACTGATAAGATTTACTAGGTTACCATGACACAAAGTTAACGAACGCTCGAAGCATAACATTCCAACCGAGTGTCGTCGATATTCCCCAGAGTAATTTTCTGCAAGGACAAAAGTGGTGTGCTATGCCGGGGAACATCTTCGTCATTTCCGGGACGGTTATACAAAGCCACGTGTATCGATCAGGTCAGGTCTCTCCTATCTTTTACCGGGACTAGTATTGGGGGTATGGAAAACACGCCTAGCTGTATGTGTACGCAGTCGAGGATCGAAAATCGATCCAACCTGTCCGCTCTTAATGAAACACGACGTATCAAACGTCTTACGCGGACTTGGAATTATCGCTATCAGCTTCGCGATCCGATGGAAAAATACGATAAAATGTGACACGGACATTGCAGAGGAATTATTATACGGTAGAATTTTTAATTGAAAAAAGCAAGGAAAGGAAAAGCCAAATCGAAAGAAGTTAATTTTTATACTACTATTAGCTAATGTTAAATAAAATTGTTATCTTTCCAGAATGATATCGGGCAGTTTGAATAATACTACCAACAATCGTAAAATATATATAAATTTATCTTGTAACCATCCTAGACGAATTCCATTGAAAGAGAGAAGCGAGAGTAACAGCAAAGACTAAAGGCGAACAAAATGAAAGGAGAAAAATAAGTGATCTCGTTGGACCTACTATAGTAAGTTAATAAACTAATCACCTAGCGAGTTCAATTAGATCAGAGATTATCTCAGTGTTCATCGTTGCGATTCCGCGAAATCCAATTTAATGTAAATGCATTCAACACGAAATCCAATTAGAAGATGCACCACACCAAACCGACAAAAAGTATTTTCAAATTTGCAATATCTAACAAGATCCATTTTAAATGTATATATAATCCATTGAACTACAAAAGAAAACACTCATCTTATCAAAAATATTGACCGTCGACAACAATTCGCCTAGTAAATTTTTCTGATTTTGAAAATCATTTGCCATTGAAATAATGCAACTTATTGTTAGTATAATCACCTATTTTATAAAACAACATAGTTCTAGGTATATTTGCTTGTTGTTATTATTCTATATTCTACATATTATGCCTATTATCTTAGACGTTGCCTTCATTGTCCAGGAAGAAACGAAACATTGTGTTACCTTTGAGATGGTCGTATTTGTATGTGATAATTGTCGCTCCTTTTTAACTGTTTTACTGCTGAATATACAGGGTGGTTGGTAACTGGAGGTACAAGCGGAAAGGGGGTGATTCTTCGCGAAAAAAGAAGTCGAAGATATAGAATAAAAATTTTTCGTTTGAGGCTTTGTTCTCGAGAAAATCAACTTTGAATTTTCGCTTGGTACGCGCGCACTTTATTACGTCTCGTTATAACGGATCTCACTGTAGATCGTTGTCTCGATCGAAAAATTAAAAAAAAAATTTTATTCTATATTTTCGACTTCTTTTTTCGACTTCTTTTTTCGCGTAGAATCACCCCCTTTCCGTTTGTGCCATCAGTTACCAACCACCCTGTATATTCCAAGACAAGACGATCAGGGCTAAATAAATACCGTGGGCACGTATTTCACAAAATATATTACGTATTACGGTTTCAGCAGTGAAAGTTTAATGTCTTCGAACATGAATACAAGATAAATACGCTGTGTGAATCAATTTTATTATATTAATAACAAAGTACAATATCAAACTACAATCTGTCAAACTATCTTATTTTTCAAACTATCTGATTAACTATTTACATTAAAACTATCGTTCAATTTTCTTTTTCTACTGAACCTCCAAAATACATCTATAAATTCAACTATCTAATAATAAATGTAGTCATTTTTGAACACGAAAGAAATTTCTATGCTACAATAATATGAAAACTAAATATAAATGCACGCTAAAAATGCGAAAACAATCCCCTCTCCACATTAACAAAGTCTAAGAAGATCAATCAAGCTAGCTGATTTAGCAAAATTCAAGATCCATCTGCTCCAATCGATTAACCCCAATTTTCGTACCTAAATCCACATCTAAAGTCAATCGTTCGGTCGACGATTAACAAGCAAACGTAATCTATCATGCTATCTCGTTTTTGACCGAAAGACATCGAAATACGGAAAACAGCCGCAGGTCGAAGCCAAATCACACAAGTATACTTTTACGAACTTTCCTAATTATTTTTTCGCGCTCAAGTCACCCCTATAATCGTGCTCCTGTTTCACTAAGTACATAAAATGTCGTACACCATACTCGTTCTCCGCATTACACACGGACTGGTACGTTTCATGGCCTGGCGAACACGTAAACGCACAGAAATCCTGGCAAATTTCGCGTCAGCTCGTCGAAACGAGATTCGGTCGGCTGGATTCCTCGCGACGATAAAATCTACGCGGTCGAACACACGCGGTGGAGATAATTATTCCTTGCTTGTAGAGATGATTACGTTTCTATTCATCGAGTGTTGCTTTTTTCGAACGGTTCTGGTTGTTAAATACATTGATTTGCAAAGCGATGTATGCATCAAGCGGCAAGTTTCGAAGGAAACATTACCGGTAATAATTTCATGTCAAACACAGATATTTTGGTCGGTGTTATTCGCTATAAGCGTGCTCGTGTCACCGCGAGCCACGGTTATAACTCACGCGATGTTTCCTTAAAGCTGACGACGACGCGAAATAAAATTCTGACGTTCGTACTGCTTGACACCACGACGAACAATATAGGTCAATTGGAAATTGTCGTTTTTCAAGTATCAGTATTGGTGTGTTCCATTGTTTCTCCATACTCTTAATTTGCACATCACCTCTTCCACTAATCAAAAATTTCCATCTGTCATTAAATTAGCCTTCATTCCTCGAAATTCCATCGGAAAATCAGCTCTATGAGGCTAATCCAACAACGAGAAAATCTGTATCCTGACATAATTCAAGATTGATAACCAATCATAATGTCTGAGCGTAAATAATATCACCCAGCAACAGTTAGATATATTTTAAATCAAATCCTTCGTCATTCGACCAACTATGCCATTCCCGTTTTAGAGACCTGCCACTTATCAACTAATAAGTAACAAGTGTCACATAAGCCTACTCGTCAAATCGACGATGCATGGTTCCATATTTTCCCAATATCTCGCTTTGTACTACCATAATTTACAATGGTGATCATTTTTAATTGAAAAAGTTCGCGTGCAATATACATACGTAGATTATATTCATCCACATGGTACAATTCGAATATCTAACGAACTAATACGACAATCTCGCTTCGATTCCACTGAGTCAAAAAGCTCTAAATTCGAATTGTAGAGATGGAGCTCTATAGTGAGGTGGAGTGAGAGAATCGAAAGACAGAATCTGTTCGAAACGCGAAGCTGTACAACGCATTTCCAGATGTGACTAGAAGTATCGTTTTCCTCCACAACACGAGCCACGAAGATTGCTCTACATTTCACCTTCCGTGGTATCGTTTCTCTTTATGTTACACGTAGGGGTTTAGGACATTTCTTCTGCGCCGAGCCGGCGTAGATGCGGTGAACGTGAGTTTGCTCTCGATAAATATTTACTGAAAACATTTGTTCGTTACGTATCAGAATGTCGTATAAGGACTAAAAACGAAGATTGTAAGACTGATAGATGGTTGAAAAGAATTAGATGCAACGAGAAAAACGTTTGATAAGCGGAAATGTGCTTTCAGAAAGAGATATAATGGTAACTGGAACTTTTTGTCTCGACGGAAGTTATATTACAGGGGAAGATCTTTGCTGCATCGAATCTCGTGACGTTTTTAACGAGATTGTTTGCAAAAAGATAGAAAGGTATCGGTGATACATCGTTAAAATTTTTGTAAAGTGTGTTTGTAGTAGAACTATTTTATGAATTCTTCGTAATTACATACCTTGAAATAATTACAACTGTATTAAAAATTGAAATGTTGTGTTCTTTCTCATGAGGAATTCATTATTTACGGACAATAGCGTGATAGTAAGTTGTCATTAAGGAAATACGAGGTAGTAAATTTCATTAGGTACAGGTCGATCGTCAGATCCTATGACACCACTCCACTCTAAAAAGCGAAAACAAGGTCAGCCAAGATCTCATATTTTTAGTCCGGAAGTATGACTTTTATCCGTGTTAGCGCAGCAAACTACATATTACTTGAAAGCGACTTGCACCTTTTTAAAATAACCGCTTATATAGAGTTAAAAAAAATCTTATACAAGGCCTAACCAAATAACGCGTAAAAGTCAGCACGACGTAATTCCTTGTGAAAAAATACGGAAAAAATATAGAATAAAGTTTTTTCATTCTTGGATTAGTTTTCGAGAATACCCAGTTTAAAAATTTATCAACTATACTTGCACGTGGCTAATGGCGGACTGAGCAGATTAAATAATAGGCAAGAAGTTAATTGTACGTGTGAAAATAAGTGGAAAATGTAAAATAACATTTTTCTGTTTAAGACTCCAAGAAAATAGAGTTTGAACACGTTTAATTAAGAATTGGCTTAGCACACGCGTATGATAAATTTTCAAATCTATTTTTCTCGGAAACAAAATATTTTTTGTGAAAATATTTTATTCTACATCTTCGACTTGCTTTCACACGTAGAATCACCTCTTGTCGATTACTTAGTTCTGTCCAGTCCAGAATTAATTACATTCAAGTATATTTGATAAATTTTTAAACTTGATTTTTTCAGAAACTATGTCAAAAATGAAAAAATTTGGTTCTATATCTTTTCCTTATTTCTACACAAGGAATCACGTCATATCCGCTTTTACATGTTATTCGATTAGACTGTATATTTACTTTTCACTCGCAATATCGTCTTATCGTTATACACAGTTTTATATCCTTGCTTTTTTCTAAATAACACTTTTACCTATTTTATCGTATGTTTGATAGTAAAATATAAATTATACGAAAAAATAAAATATATCCGATCTCGTCGAATACAAGGTAGAAATAAAATAAAATTTATCGCGATGAACAGAAACGAGTATTTGACATGCGGTTTAACGAATGTTCCATCATCGACCACACAAAACACTCGGATCACTTTACGACGGGAACCTAAATAGAGATTTTATCGGAATTTTTGTTAAAAGGTGTACAGGGATAGCCGCGTTTACTCCACAAAGTCGAACTCTTCCACTATTCTACTTTGTTTATTAACCCCTATACGGAAGGACCAACAACTTACACCGGCATTTGTGTCTGTTTTTCCCCTGGAATCCGAGTTTCGCCCCTTCCCCTTGAACTCGGTTTGTTCCCTTGTCTCGTTTGTCCTCAATTCCGCCCTTCCACCGAAGACAAAATCGCGGGAGCGGGAACGGAATTGCGCGCAAAATTGCTTCTGATTGCATTAATTCTCGGCTGTGATCGCAGCAATCGACCATTTGCTTATTGAATTAAACGCGATCATTATCGATTCTTTTCTCCGCAACTGTAAACGCGCGTTTCTCAATAGTCCATAGGGCTCAATGGAAAAAAGGAATGAAGATCTTCGTTCGAAGCGAAGGAAGAAGAGAGTTTCGTTTTCAAATGTCGATTTGGAGGAAATGCGGATTCGAGAAACGTGTTTGGAGATATTTTCTTACAAAGGATGTTTTAAAAGCTTTTTAGTGGAAAGAATGTTTTATTCATATTTTATGCTTCTATTTATAGATGGTAACTATGATCGATTTTTGGTGACATTTTTCATCAAATATACAGTATAGCATGTTGTTCGGGAAATTTCTTACGATTAAATTTTTATTTTACAGTGATAAATGAATATAAAGTTGCGTAATTTTTAATTTAAAAAATGTAATAAAAATCCGAATTAAAAATTCTGGACAATAATCTGAATTAAAAGATACGAGAGAAACGGTTGTTTCTACGTCTCGAAAAAATATATGTCGAATAAAAGTAAGTTAGAAAAGCAACGTAAAAAGTATTACAAGGTTATAGGAAATTTATTACTCAAATATTGCATTTTATGTTAAAAACGATTCTTTTTTAAAAGGTATTATGATTTCGAGATAGGAGTCTGTAAAATTCGTATTTTCGTTCTTTAAAAAAATATAATACCTTGCTCAATGATAGTACGAATATCCTTTAAATTTTTCTCCTGATTTCGCCAAATTTTATAGAGAAGAATACCCCCACTAGTAACTTCACAAAACTTTTCAAGCGAGTGAAATTGTGTTCTTCGCTCAGAGCTAAAGCTAAAAAAAAAAATGGCTTATAATTTCTGCAACCTTTTTAGAAGATTTCTTCTCGCTACTACACTTTATTTTCATAGCAAAAGAGCTATTCCATTATTCCCAATATCATTTGTCATGAAATAAATTAATCGATCCCATTCTATTAAAATTAAAAAATATTCTAATGATATCAAATTTTGTGTGAAAGAAAAAAACGCTTCAAATAAAACTCTTAAATAAAAGAGCGAAGAACTGCCCAAAAATGTTTAAAATCCTTTCTAATAAACAAATTTCCTTTCTACGAACCATACCAATAATATCTGAAATCTGTTTTAGAAACAAGTATTCCCCTTTCATTTTCACATAATTTTCGAAAGAACGGTTCACTGCGTAGAAAGTAAGCCCGCCTCGCGTGTCACGATGTCGTAACTATTTTCTCCTTTGGAGAAAGAAACGTATGCGTAGCGTACGGGATTCGTGAGAAAAAGGCGTTCGCTGGCCGCCCTCCTGTAAAGATTTAAACTCGTTGTACAGTGTGCAGGACTCACCTGACGGGAAAACGCGACCACCCTCACCTTCGCGAACGTGAGTTACCTGATTCAACGTACAACTGGCGTATTCGAGGTGCCGGCGATTCCTTTTATAACAGCGGGACTTGACGGCCCTGCGCGGAACGCCACGCAGTCTCTGTGAGCCGACTACAGGAACGTGTCTGCGTGGATGCAGCCCCGCATATTTACACCAAAAAAAAAAATGATTAAACACATGGTAAGATCACTTTTGTTTAAATATCACGTGTTCTCTGAGATACATTACTTTATCGTTAGTCTATCGTTTTTAACAGATCCTATCAACTTGTATTCCATGTGTAATAAATAAATAAAATATAATAAGTAATAAATAAAACCGTGTATCTTAACTGTATTTCAGACCAGTTAGTTTTAAAGGGATTTTTATATTACTCTGTGTAGAACCTTTTTTATTCCTGTTCACATTTCTTATTTACTTTACGTTTGCAAGATTACGAGGTAGTTTGAAATATCATTTCAAAAATGTTCTTTTTTACAGTTTAAGGGGTGGAAAAATATTGTGTTTGTATGATATGGAAAGGTGTCCAAATAACACGAACAATAGAAAATATTTTTTAAAGATAATTATTCTTGACAAAGAAAATCGAACCTCATTGATACTATTCGAATAATTGAAAATGTAATTATTTTACAACAGTATGTGACAGACACTGCATTATAAGTCAAAATAATATTAAATTGCTTGAAACCAGATCTTACAAGTTCTATGTGATCTACTTTTTATGGAGGCAGTACCTAATCACACCTATCCTGCAACATTCGCAGTTCATGGAAGTGCACAAGGAAATTGCACGTCGAATTAAAAGCTCGCAAAAGAAAATTGCAAATAAACTTTCTGCAGTGATTAACCGAATACTAAAATAATTCTTCATGTAACAAAAAAAACATATTTTAATAGTTATCTCTCGTAAAATAATTGTGATAAATGATACGAGTAACCAAATCATTAATCTGAGAAAATCTTATTTTAATACTATTGCAAATATATAAAAGAATTTCGTATTCTACAAATGGCAGACAATGCTATATTTCACACAAGTTCTAAGTTATAAAATAAACATAACTCTTAAATGAATAAGAGAACTTACTTTTCCTGGGATTAACATTTAACGAAACCAATGGGCTTTAAAACTAGATTTTTTAGGACTAGATCATAAACAATAGCAAATGATAACATGACTTGGTTAAATTAATCATCGATCAAATTCAGAATCCATAGAACCTTCTAACTAGAAATATCACGTAGCTTACAACTTATACAGCCGAAAGCTATTAGCCGAAATGTTGCTGGCGACGATGTGGTCGCGTTTAGTTCCTATATGCCCACTACATGGAATTTCAGGTAGTCGACTTGCAAGAGAAATCGATTAATCATTATACGTCCATGCGAGCTGTTTTAATGAAATGCTGAATTTGCAACGATTTATACTCGTAGAAGCCTTTGGAAGATATTGAATAATTGTTGAGAGCAGAGTTTGAAAAGAAAAATGGTTGAAAAAAGAATGTTAAATGTATTGAAATATTTACATTTCTATTAATTCATTTGTTATTAAATCTTACTTTTTCTCTACTCTATATATAATAAATTTACATGAATATTCCTGTGAGTCTCTTAATAAATTTATTACATTTTTTCAACAAGTTTTCTTAGAATCTTGATGAATTCGAACTCGTGAAATTTGTATCGACGAGTAATACGAGTAATGCGAATAATAACGAGTACCAAGAAAACATGCTAACTGGTTTGTCAAAATGATGGAATAAAATATAAATAAATATAAACGAGAGGATCGGTATCCATAAGAACCAAAAATTATTCGAAATATAGGTCAATAGGTCGATCCACTTGATACAAAAGTTGGTCTTATCAGGTTCCCTCTTAGGAAGAATAAAAAAAGGAGCTATTAAAGGCAACTTTAAAAATTGAGTCACGTAACTGAATAAATTTGTTGAAATTAAATTCTACGAGTCGGCTGGATTTCCGTCAAGAAGAACAGACAAACGAGCCCAGAGAGTCCAATTAAAGATGGAATAGCAGCGGATACGTGTTCGAGGACCAACAAGAATCTCGTCGATAAAGTGTATAATTATTTTAAGCTGCGATTTTTCCAGCACTAGCTGTTTTCCGAAAGCTCTATACAAGTCGACAGATTTTTGTCGCCACCTGTCCAAAATTCGCGAACGCTCTATAAAATTATCGCATGTGTGGCGAACTTGTAGCTGCAGCCGATAAAACAGAGAAGAGGGGTGAGCTTTTGATAATGGCACGTGGCACAGAGCTTGCACGACCTTACCAACAAGCAGCACTCATCGGTTCTCGTATTTCACAAAGCCAAGTCTCAGAAACATACCGTTTGCGCTTTTATATTAGACCAGTGACAATATCACGTACCTATTCTACTTGTGAGGTTATTTTTACGTATCGAGTAAGTAGATTTGTGATTGACCCGTTTTGTGATATTCACATTTGTGGTTATCCGATAC